ATACATGTATGTATGTATGTATGTATGCATGCACGTATGTATGTATGTATGTATGTATGTATGTATGTCTGTATGCATGCATGTATGTATGTATGTATGTATGTATGCATGTATGTATTTATGCATGTATGCATTTGTGTATGTATGTATAATTTCATGTATGTACTATTCTTTTCATATCATTTGAGGGAACTGTCGTGTATAGCGTTTAAAGGCTCATCGCTGCACTTGCCACCCACTGCCCATTCGAATCACCCGAGGAGATGGCCTGAGGAAGTTTATTCTTCAGAAATGTACAGTAATTTTTTTTTTTTCGTTTTTTATTGAATTCCGCTGATTTGAGAATACGTACGTCTTCAGTTGGCCTATAATATTAGTTATTATGGAAAAAAATATAATGTAGAATATTAACATCAAATGATAAAACATAGCTTCCGTAATTTTATGCGAAGAAAATTGGGAGAACGTTTTCTTGGCCAGGATAAAACTTTTTTCACTTAAAACCCAAATCATTATTACGTTGAACTTACCAATCGTTCATAACGTCTTTTAGAGGGTAACAAAACTTAGGAAAAAGGCAAGGCAGATGTCCACGATGGCGCGTTTTCCAGATCATACAAAAAGCTATGGGTAAAAATACCAGCTAATCTATGCCAGAGAAAGCTTTTAATAAAAATCTTTTTTTAATGATGTGTTTGTGCGTGACAATTTTTGTTATTTAGGAATGTTATAATTGTTTTAGTTGATCAGTAAAAAGAAATGAAAGTTCTTGAGTTAAATCACATTATTTCGTAACATTTCCTGAAAAAAGAAAAAAAGAAGAAGAAAATAATAGAAAGAAAGAAAGAAAGAAAAAGGAAAAAGAAACATATATATATATATATATATATATATATATATATATATATATATATATAAAGACACATATATACACACACACACACATACACGCACACACACATACACACACACACACACACACACACACACACACACACACACACACATATATATATATATATATATATATATATATATATATATATATATATATACATATATCTATATCTATATCTATCTATCTATCTATCTATCTATCTATCTATCTATCTATCTATATATATATATATATATATATATATATATATATATATATGTAGATATATATATTACCAGGCTCACTATATAAGCTTAATTTCTAAAAAAAAAAGAAGAAGATACAAGTACACTAATAGTATAATATGATATCAATGACTTTCCACTGTCTGGTTGTGTCAGTAAGCAGCCGAGTTTTATATTGACAATAAGTAATAATTTGGTGAATGATTTATTGCTGCATTTATATTAATGTTGTCAAATAAATCATACATAATGAGACCCGATAAGGGACCCATAAAAATCATGGCCCTGAATATTTCCTACTGATGGCAGTTTTGTATTATGAATATCTGCCAGGCGATAAATATAAAAAAAAAATGAAATAGATAAACGAAGCGAAAAAGTGAAAATGGAAATATGGAGACATCAGTACAAAACAGTGCTATACCAGTCAAGCAAATGGACAAATCAAGAAATACACAAGATAAATGAATGAAGCGATGACTAAGATAAGATAAATAAAAT